ATGAACATTGCTTGCAGGAGAACTCAAAATGCCGCGCGTATCAAACGGTCTAAAACCATTAAATAAAAAACAAACATAATAAGTTCTTTATTATGTTGAAGCGTAATTCTATTAATGTTCATTCAAACACTCAGCTCTCACTGCAAATTTGGCGCTAGCCAAAAGTGAGAATCGGCTTGCCATATAAGTGATTTTGAAATTTTTTTTAAAGGCTTCGCTGAAAGTCCACGCGTGCTTCGATCTCTCTGAATGTTAAATCAGTACAATTTGTATTGCAAAACTGTGAACTACTGCATTCTGTCCGAGGTCTGTACGATAAAAACAGCGCCTCATAGTACTGGTTCACCTCAGATTTGATGTATAAAAAGTATAAAAGGTTGATTTACACGCCCCCCAGATTTGTTGGCAGGATTCTGTAAAGTTTAAAACTTGTCAAACGCCAAAAATTTGGCCTGATTTTTTTTCCAAGAATTTGTTTTCCAGGCCTAGTCTACTGTGATCAAGAGCCATTAGGGTTCTTAAATGTGATCGAAGATGACCGCGATTTTTTTTTGTGTGTGTACATATAAGACTATCAACTCGCTGTAAGTTTTGGTTTACTCTTGGACTATTTGCAAATCACTTTTCTCTAAAATCACTTAGCCTTTCCCTCAAATTCACATGAATGTGCTCTAAAGTTAATTGATTTGTGGAATACAAATTCATTGTTTGATTTAAATGATAAATTTATTAATGGGAGCTTCGCTTTTAGCCCTGGCTAGATCCATATATTATCAATTTCATGCCATCTCAAATTATTATAATGGGATATGTAGACCCGTTGAAGCCTTGCCATAGCGTTGTAATCCCTTAGACACGAGACTTGGCACTATTCTTATGTCTCTCTCCACCCAGGTGTACAACAAGTGTACTAGGACATACTTGTTTGAGGTAACCCTGCGAGGGACTGAGATCTTATCAGCGAATGGAGTACTTATACTCCAGTGTGTTTTATGCTTAAACAAGAACGCTCTTACAGCGACCTTCAGTCTCGCTTGTTTGGAGATTGGATCGGAAAAAAGAGGAGGCGATTAATTCTACACGAAACAGGATTTACGCTCTAAAGGTTTTTTACTTCATACTTTGTCGACGTCGATACTTTTTATTTGTTTCTGAATTGATTTAGTGCGCGTGTTAGCGACGACCGGAAATACTTCTTCTGTGGCGGGCTATACGCGTGTATAAATACACGAAAATTCAAGGGCCTCGATTCCAGAAAAATTACATCTTTGCCAGAGATCAAAAAAAGTGATTTAAATGGCACGTCATTTCAATCATCGCCGAAAATAAACCGCATGCTTATCACAAGATCCACTTGCAGTCAATGAAAGTTTATAACACCAGACCAGCGCAGTTTTACTAATTAAGATTCTTGTTGTTGTTTTTTTTTTTTTGACCACTCAGTAGTGTCCACTTGTTCCAAAGTAAATAACGCTTTGAAGCGATAGAAATCGTGAACCCACACGTTTCGGAAAAGCTCTAAATTACCTTATTAAATGAAATTTTCGCGACACGTTAATTTCGCGAATTTCGCGAATTTCGCGATTTAAAAAAAATCGCGAAATTTAAGTGACGCGAAAATTAAATGTCGCGAAAATAACATGACGTTAAGATTAAGTGACTCACATTATGTCAATAATCAAAAAAGCGACTTTATTACCACTACAGACGTTTATAACAATCATTTTGAACTATTCTGTGGTAATGTTCTGGTCCACTTCATCACTACTGCTTTCCGTCTCCACTCCAGGTAGCACTTCTTTTGCACAATCCTCATACTGTCCACTTACTGGCTCCTTGTATTGCTGTTCCACTAGTTGCTTAAGCCTTTCAATTGCTTCAACGTTCTTCGTAGATGCCTTCATTCTTACTGTCGCCTCTACAGGAATCTCCAAGCCTCCTTTTATGAGTGGCGATTGTCGAAAGCGTGCGTCCTTTACTGTCACGAAGACATCTGCGCCTCTTGAAATAAGAAATCTTGTAAAACGGCTGATCTCACGTGGGAAATGACCAAGTGCAACATTCGATGTTGGTTGTTTCTTTCATGGATGCTGGAAAGAACGTTTCCAACCTTAGGTTTCCATATCTCTTTATACACATGAAAGCCTTCCAGGCCGCAGGGAAAGGAATATTGTCAGGGGCACCCAATGAGAATATATTTCAAAACCACTTAAACATAGCTGCATTGTTAAACGTATTTTACTACTTAAACGGTAGATATAGGCATATTTTTATCCCCTAAAAATTTTTCATCTGTTCGGATTTCCTAGCTGAAAGTCTAATGATGCGAAAATTATAGAGATCAAAACTTACCTTTTCGAAAATTTCAGCCAGAAAAAAGGCTTCCGAAAATTCTAGGTGACCTTTTTAGGGTAAAAATCCGTTAAAAATAGGCAAATATACCATTTTTTGGATGTTCGAAAATCCTAGGAGAGGCAGGCAAGCAAGAAATTTTACAACAAATGTTTCGAAAATTCTAGATCTCACATCGTCTTCCGAACAGATATTCTTCCCAAAATTGTCGTTGGGTGCCCCTGTATTGTTACTGTTTCCATAATCAGTTGCGTTTCTGTTTATTTGGACATTGTTGATTAAGTTGTTTGATAAAATTCAGGGACATGTTAAATAACATTGACAAAGAAATAAAGTGTGTCTCACTCAAAAACGCGAAATAAAAGTGAGTCAAAATACTGCAAAGTTTCGACGAGGGGAACCAACTTTGAGATTCCCTGAATTAAGATAATATATAGCTTTAGCCACTGCTAAAAGCGAAGCTCCCATTGATAAATTTATAACTTAAATCAAACAATAGTTTTGTATTCCAAGAATCAGTTAACTTAAGGGCACATTCAGGTGACTTTTGAGGGAAAAGCTAAGTGATTTTGGAGTGAAACAAATCTTGTATCGAGTTAATATAGCCTTATATGTACACCCAAAAAATAGTCTTCGGTCGCATTTAAGAGCAATGATGGCTCTTGATCACAGTAGATAAGGCGTGCAAAACAAATTCTTGGAAAACAAATCAGGCCGAATTTTTTGCGTTCGACAACTTTACAAATTCTTGCCAATAAATCTGGGTGCGTGCAAACCAATCTTCTATTTTTTATACACCACATCTGAGGAGAAAGAGTACTATGAGGCGCTGTTTTTATCATACAGACCT